CTCGCAGCGCTGTCTTGCCTGCCTGTTTTTTGTTTTGTTTTGTTGTGTTTGTTTTTTTTTTTTTTTTTCCCCAAAAGTCCACAAACTTGTGATTTTCTGTGCAACTTGCGGGGGGCGAATCAGTATGAGGGAGCGCCCTTCTCATTGAAACCGGAGGTGAATAAATTATGAACAGGCGAAAATTGGAACAATGTCTCTGAGCGAGTGTTTTCTAGAGAGTTACTATTCCAGGCTTTGAAATCAATTGATACATAATTAGATTCCTCAAGAGAGGACAAACAAGGGCTGCCATTCACCCCCTCCTTCTCCCACATGCATCCCAAAGAGAGACCGGAGGCTTTAGCAGAAACCAGACAGCCAGCATTCTCCAGCACTAAAAACATATTCTGGCTTTGGGTGTTCATTTAACAAACAGATCCTTGAACCTTGCTTCTGTTTTCAGTTTATTTCGACCATGTTTCTTTGTGTTCAGTTCATTAAAACATGTCTCTTTTGAGATCTATTTTTACATTTCAAGAATCCAGTATTGTACTTTTGCGGTGGCAGATGGCCCTAGACATCCAAGCATAAGCTCTTTCCTGCTTTTTTCCTCTCTTTCTTAGGTCTTTTCTGCGCCGCACTTGAAGCTGTTAGCAGCAACCGGTCCTCTTTGCAACGTCTGGGGCTGGCGCGCGGTTCAGCACCGGGGTACAAATGTGTTACAGTCCTCGCTGAACACACTCAAGGTGTATTTTAAGCAGAGTGGATGCTACTTTCTGTGAGATAAGAGCCCTCCGCAGCTGGATAGACCCAGGTCGTGTGGGTGGCATGCTAACTAACTTTGCACCTTCACCTTGTGATTACCTCCTGTTAATAACGTTCTGTAATCCCCCAAATGATTTTATTAGCTGTTAAGGTTGAGTTTCATTTTTGAGAGAAAGAAAAGCTGTGTACAATAGCAAGGGCACACAATAAGATGCCTCAAAATAAAGATTTGTGTTTGTGAAAGTGCTCTGAAGGAAGAGGAAAAAGTACGCAGTGATTAGAAAAGACAGTTTAAGGGTTATTGAAAAAAACAGCAGCACCCCTGGCCAAACGGGCCACCTAACTGAAGGCAGTGGCTTAGCTCCTCACAACTGATGTACTAGCAACAACCACTTCAAAACCTGGTATCAAACATGGATCAGAGTGCTGCATCATTAGCATAATTTATGTCAGATATTAATAGGATTAAAAAACCTCCACCTCTACCAGCAACGAGGAAAAAAAAAAAGTGCCTGAACTGCCGTAGACCCATCTCTTAGGTAAGGTGCCAGTACTGTAGCCTACAATAAGGTGGGTGCCTTAAAGAAATCACAAACAGAATGACCAACTCCTACATCCTATTAAATAGCATGATCTTTAGGAAGGGGTAAGGTAAATCTGACATAGCTGTTGTTTGTAAACTTTGGCAATGGTAAACCTGTGACCTCTGTAGTAAAAATAAAAAAAGGCTGAGAAGTTTTCCAACAGAGATATTTGGTTGGATAATAGCTAAAGCAGAAGTACCCAAATATGTACAAGAGGAGACTATTTTGTTTATGTTTGGTGCAGACATGGTATATATTTACATCTGCATGTGTGTACGTGTGTATTTCAGTATCTGATTTTGTGTGGTTCACTGTTTTACCTGGGTTAAGCAACAGACTACTTGGCAAGAGCCAACTGAAAGATCTTGGTCAGTTCAGGAAAGACTGGATTTTACTGCTCCACGATGGTGCACACATGTGGTGACACAGTCTGCTCCCTGATGGAAAGTGGGACAGGCTCAGGAGCACACAATGCTTCCTCTGCAAGGTGATGTCCTTCCTTGATGCCCTCTCCTGTATCCCAGCCTTAATCACAGCTGCCACAGTCCCCAGGATACGTCTTTTTGCCTTTCTGGTGAATTAGGACAGGAGATTAATACATGTATATAGCATGGTAGAACAGGTTTCCATTGCTGCTGTGATTTGTCTTGTGTTGCTGGCCTCAGCCACAACACGGAGCGCAGCTGGGAGCCTCAGCAGCTCCTGGCTGGATATATGGGATGCTTCAGCTGCACCAGGAGAGTATTACCCAGGACGGCACAGCAGAAGGACCTGTACTGGCAATTGCAGCCTCCTCCAGGATGAGTCTATTTTAAGTTTGCCTTGTGTCAGCCTCCAAAGAGTCCCAGGTTTCTGAGTGTGTGCAGAAGGGGAAGCAGCAACACAAACTCCTTCCTTTCCCCTCCCCTTGGGCTCCCTCAACCTTCTTTTGATGGGACTACACTCAGAAGTGAGATGTGGCAGAAGAAATCTCTGTCTTAGAAGTTATTCCCACCTCACAAACCACCTTGGACTTCTGCAGACCGTTCTTTTACTACCTCCTTTCAATTACCCTTTCCTCCACCCTCCAAGCTCACGGGGGGCATGCAGGAGGAGATCATTTGGGAATGGAACAACTCACAGACTTACAGCCAGGAGAGAGGGGATCTTGACAGCTGAGGGTCTTAGAGAGGTTGGAGAAAGGCAGTAAGAAGACAGAAGTAGTGAGCAGGAAGCACTCACCGGGGAGGGAGTGCTTTGGGCTTGTCAGGAGAGGAAAGAAAAAAAAAAAAAAGCTCTGCAGATCCAAGCTTGATTACTCTTAATCCTTCCTGAAAATATCCAGGTCCTTCCAACATTTGCTTTTTTCCTTCTCTATCAGCTTTGTTGATGCTTGTCTTGATGATTTGCTTAAGGTGTATCAGACAACTCCAGATCTTTTACTGGTAGAAGTGTCAAAATAGAGGCTAGTTAGTATACATCACTGCAAACTCTCCCACAGTTAGCACAGTCCTCTAGAGAGACCTGCCAGATAATGGCTTTTGAGAGGAGCTTAGGGGCATCTGCAGTGGCTGTTTTCCCCCATTGTCAGTAGAAAATAAAGATTAGATAGGGCATGGGGATGGGCTAAGAATATGGACAATGGACAAACTGATGTCACATCACTTATCTGTGTGGCTGACTTCAGGTCTGCTCCTGCAAAATGGTTTGTGCAGACTCCCCTGAAGTCAATGGGCTTCTGTGCAGGTGGAGGAGTTCTCCATTAAGCTCTGGTTTGTGAGTCTGGGGTCTCAGATCACATTTAGGGGTGGTTTTTGTCTATAAAGCAGCTGGTCCTTTCTGAATGCTAGATGCCAGAGTAAGTTTTTTCAATGCAAAGATCTTTTCATGAGTCTTTTCTTTGCATGACTTGGTTTTCTTTTACAATTTTGATAATTTTCATGCAAAAGATGTGTTCAAATGAGTCCTGCATCAAGAACCACTAGAGTTTGGGACTGAGGACAATTGTTAGCACAGTTTGGGCCCTGTCTCCCCATCAGAACGCGACAGCTCCAACACCTGCAATCAGGGATGTTGCCACGGACTGCAGAGGTGATGGCCACCGCATTTCAAGCATCAACGGTGTATTGGAGATGGCATTCCCAGAAACAGCACCTGCTTAAAAAGGAAAGTGGCTATTTGTGGATTTTTTAGCGTGGTTGAAGAGATGCTCTGACCAACCAAGCACATCCTCACAATTCTTAGTGCAGTGTTTCAGCCCCGCAGCAGGAGCTGCCCAAAACCTGTCACAACGTAAAATGATGGAAAAATCGCACCGGGCGGGCTACAGCCAGGGTGGCAAGAGGGCCAGACGTGGCAGTTTCGGAAAAAACCTCCCTTTTCCCCAAACACACCCAAACTCCCGCAGGCAGCGGGAGCGGGGCCGCAACAGCACCGCGTCGTGTGCGCTCCCTCTGCTGGCCCCGCGGCGGCAGCGCGCCCCTCCGCGCCCCCGCGCAGCGCTGGGGGGGCACGAACGACCCTTCCCAAGGGCCCCCGGCCGCTCTGCCGGGGGGCGCAGCGGCTGAAGTCAAACGCCGCAATAAAATAGTAATAATAATAATAACAATGAACACCGCGGATTTCTTCTGCGGAGGCACGAAAATCCCCCACGCATCCCGCACCCTCAGCGTGGCACCCAGAGGTGGGAGAGGGTGGGATTCTTGGTGCACAGCCCCCCTTTGTCTAGGCATGCTAGATAAAAAGTAGTTTGAGCCATTTTCTAAAATCTACATTGCAATCAACTGACACAAATGCATTCCCCCCCAAGACTGCCAAGCATCCGTCTGGAAAAGGACAACAGAGGAAAAAACATGTTAAGCTCACATGATGTCTTGCTGCAACCTCACCTCCCACCTTGGGTGGAAAATGGAGTGAGGAGGAAGACATGCAGAGGCACCACAGTACATGTTTCCATGTGCTGCCGTGTTTCTGGTGAAGATGTGTGTGCAGACCCCCATTTTTATTCTGGTTGTGGAGGCCTTAACATGGAGCAAGAAATGAAGCTGAGACTCCAGACTAGCTAAGCTGGGCCGTGGAGACAACCCATGCTGTCTCTACTTACAAGGGAAGCATGAGAGTAATAGCTGACAAAGGGCAACAAATAAGCATGTTCATGGTGGGACTGAGACATCTGCTCAAAGCCACCCACCATGAGCTCAACCCCAGTGAGATACAACTCCAGTGGCAGTGCTGAGCTTAACACAGCTGATTTAGCAACAGCTACAAGGTGGTAAGGAGCACAACCTTCAATATTTGTACTGCTCCTGTTCTCACAGCAGTTGGACTTTTCAGCCAAGATATTTGACACTGGAACATTTCATATCTAATACTACCTTTTCAATGCAGCACTTTGGAATTACTCTGTCTTTGACATAAATTGCATTGACTTTAGAATTACCAGTTGAGATGAACAGGTGCACTTTCAAAACCTTCACAGTTTTGTCTGTCTCCTCAGACCAAAGGTGGCAACAAAAAACCTGATTCAGTTGATATTTAAGATGTTTATCCATGTGGTAGGACTAGAAGTTTTGGTTTCTTATAATTTTGTTTGTATTTCACTGAAATGTATTGCTGTATTTAATGCAGAAATAAAGAAAAAAATTTCCCCTTGTTGCTGTTCCACTTCCCACCTGTTCCACCCATCCCAAAGCACTCCAAACCCAGACTCCAATCTGACGGCTGCAATTAGAACAGAAATCACAGAGCAGTGTGTGTTTTAATTGGCCACGGAGTATGTGGCACATTTAAATCTCTGGTGATAACATACAGAACGTAATGAGTAACCTTGATGATTTTTTTTTTTTTTTTTTTTTTTT